TACATATTTTGGCATCAAAACAAATGACTACAGTGGCGCAAAAGCGAAAACAGGTCATCTTTATGACCTACTATGGTCCAAGAGCAAAAGTCTTTTGAGTCCATGAAAAATTCCTTCATGTTAATCTAGTCAGTTGGTTGATGGGTTGATTACAGATGCAGTTTGTATTGCCGGTGATAATACTAGCATAGGATTTTGAAAATTACCTCGGGAGGTTGTGGAATCTCTGTCATTGGTGGGTTTTAAGAACAAGTCAGACAAACACTTATGATGGATGGTCTTGATCATACTTAGTCCTGCCTTAGCGCATGAGGTAGATCAGTGTTTCTCTACTTTTTTTTTTATAAAGTACCTCTTTAAAAAAAATTATAAGTCTCATTGGAACTGCCGCAGCCACACGCTTTTCCCGCCAGGTGCTGGGGCGCATGCACAGAGCATCTGTTAACGTCCGGGCGTGCGGTTCCGAACGTTCAATTTGACAGGCATGTGTCGCAACCCCTTAACCAATCCCTTTTGAAAGGCAAAATCCCGGACACTTTTTGCCAAATTTCAGTTCTGTTGACATACCCCCTGAGACTTCTCTCGCATACCCCTAAGGGTACTCGTGCCACTGGCTGAGAAACACTGGGCTAGATGACCTACTGAGATCCCTTCCAGTCCTATATTTCTAAGAACCAAAGCTCTTGTATTCAAACAAACAAATACTAAGATAATATCAGGCTCAGAGACCAGCAGACAGGTATCACTCTGTTATCAGTAGAAGCCAAGGAACAAGCCAGTCATGGAGATCAAAGAATCTTTCAATCTTACAGGCAGTCCCTCTTAGGGATGTAAAAACATTATGTTTAGCCAGTTTAGCTGCTCCTGCCCTGCCCTTGCCCCGCCCCTGGCAAGGCTGCACCCCTTCCCAAGGATGGGCTGGAGTGCCCTCCTCTCCCTGTTTGCCCTCTCCACCACCGTTCCAGCCTGGCCAGAGCAGTCCGCCTGCCACAGACAGGGGCTGCTCTGGATGACCAGAGCAGCCCCTGTCCGTGGTAGGCTGAAGCAGCCTCCTTCCCGTGGTAGATAGGGAGCTACTCCAGACCCCACTGGTTAATCGGGATCAGTCATCATCACCCATTAAGGATGATGCTTTACTGGTTAACCTTTCACATCCCTAGTCTCTCTCGGTCAAAGTGGAGACTTCCTGGCCAGGGAAAGTTACACAGCTGCTGTTTGTGCTATGTTTGTTCTATGGAGAGAGAGAGAGAGACACAGTCTCCAGGGAGGTCAACCCAACTCCATCCACCAGCACTAACTTCACCAGAAGCTTAAGGTTGAAAAGCAAACCTTAAAAGCTTGCATGTCTTGAAATGATTTTGCCCAAGAAAAACTCCTGAGGCTACAATGATTTACATGTCATTTTTGTCATGCTGTCTTGGGTTTAAAGTAAACCCTTTCCCTGCATATATTTCTCAGCCATTAACATAACATAATTCCCCCTTCTTCTTGTGTTTTCAGTGTTGCAGCAGTTGGGAACCGCCTGTAGTTTACTTCTCAGTCTGTCCATTAGGCTCCCTGATTTCAGAAAGAATATGCCCCACTCTGGGATTAGTGAGAATCTGGCTAAGAGCAGCTGCAGAGTAAAATAGCAAGCAAGAAAATGAACAGACGGTGTATGACTAACTGTAGCAGCATTGTTCAAAATTTCACGGGCGGAGTTAAAAAAAATCCTCTTCCTCTGAAAAAAATATCTATCAGAAGGATGGATCAAATGGCTAGCGCACTGTGTATTCCAACAAAGGAGGCATATGTACTCATCCCATTAAGTCTCAGGCCTTGTTTTACTAGTCTTGAAGGATTCCTGTGGCAAAGCTCCCATCTTAGACATCTGTGAGGCAGGCATTAATTTTGCTCAGTTTTAACCAAGCTACATTACTGTCCCGTTTAATTGCAACTTGACTCAGCCCTGCTTTGGGGACGGCTACATATGGTGAACTGATTGACCAGAAGGAAGCAGTGAAGAGGACAGGAGGAGTCCCACCTGGCAATCTTGTTGAAGGGAGAAGGGTATAACATACTAATATGTATTACCAAGGGAAAGTGACCCAACCGTTCACATTTTCCCCCTCTTTCCATAATATGTGCTCCATGTCTTCCCCACAGGTGTTAACATGTTCTTACAATCCCAGTGGAAAAAATGTACTTTCAAACTAATTCCCCAAGATGCTACACATACTCCTATAACTCCCTCCCTTACATCCGTCAATGGTCAATACCATATTACAAAACATGCTCCTGTAACAGTCAGTAGTGACTATCCTTGCAGGTGAGCCCGTATGCTCAGAAGATCTGATCCTTTTCCTTTACAAAAACTGCTATCCACCTTGGACTACTCATCTGCCTAAGATACATTTCTTGGCACCAAAGCAATCACTGCCTAGTAGAGCTCATTGAAATTAGGAATTTCCATTCCTTGGGAACATGCCACATTTCAGGGTTTTGTATCTGACCTGAATGACATGGTCAAAGTTTGAAATGTTCCATGAAATGACATTTCTGAAATTTTTCTTGTGTTGGACCAAAATGTTCTAAGTTGGATTGAGACTTTTTAATACATATCTTTTAATTGTATATTATTTTGGAAACAATATATCTATACATTCATTCCTATGTAGACACACCAACACACTTCCCTTCAAGCCCCCGCTCCCCCAACAAAATTATATCAAAATCAACATGTTCTTGGGCTTTGATCTGGATAACTTGACATTTTTTAATGGAATAAATGCTCTGATGGGAAAATTTTGACCCGCTCAACTTCTTGGACTCTCAGTGCCAGCTCACAGAGGAGCTGTGCTGACTTACACCAGCCTTGAGGATCTCACCCAGTAGCTGCAAGAAAACAAAGAACTGGTGGCCGTGGTTTGGCCAGACACAAGGTATGTCTACACTTTGAGCTCAGGGTGTGATAACCAGCTGAAAGGGACACATTCAACAAAAATAAAGCTCGCTATAGTGCATACCCATTTGAGAAGCTAGGCACCTACTTGGAGTAACTAGATCCTCCTCCTATGCTCTATTTTTAGCACATTATTTCGACGGCTGCTTGCACAATTATGTCTCTGCAAGCTGTGAATTACATTTTTACATCATCAGCAGGGAGTATAAATGTACCCATTGGATAGGCAAGTGTTACATAATCTTACCCAGAGGGCTATGCTAGCAGTACTCATATTTGACCCTTACACACCTGTAGTTGTATTCCTGACCTTCTCTTGAGACAAGAGACTGGAAAAATTCAAGGCTTTCTAATTGTAACGTGCAAAAATGGAAATGAGAATTAAACCAACTTATTACCAAAACCAAGGGCAGAACTCAACTGACTAGCGAATAGATGCCTTCTGAAATAATATATGGAGATATACCTATCTCATAGAACTGAAAGGGACTTTGAAAAGTCATCGAGTCCAGGCCCCTGCCCTCATGGCAGGACCAAATACTATCCCTGACAGACTTGGCCCAGATCCCTAAATGGCCCCCTCAAGGATTAAACTCACAACCCTGGGTTTAGCAAACCGATGCTCAAACCACTGAGCTATCCCTCCCTGCATATGAAATGATTGGTACAGCACCAAACAGTGTGTGCTGTTGCTAGATATCTGGGAACTTCTGATTACCACCACAGATTAGTAGCTGGCTCAACACATGCATAATAAACCATTAGATTACTGCACTGTAGAACTGGTTCATTTGTTCTGGTCAGACTTGTAGATTTGTCAGACACATTCTAGAAATTGCAATTAGCAATAATCAGGCATCAGGAAATATTATGGACAAGGGCTAATGTTGCCAGAACTTGCTTAGCCTGTCTCTAATTACATAAATACAAAATCAATACTGTCTTGGGCAAGCTGCATAAACAACATCACAAACAGTTCTGTCCCATGGTTGCTCATGATTCAAACAAACAGCACTAAATTATGTATGTCTGAACAGAGTACTTAGAGCTGCAAATGTAGTCAGTGACATCGACACAGCAAGGTGTCATTTTATCAGAGTATTCAGCATCTGATTGCTTCCGCTCTTCAGAAAGAGATACTGATAATCATTCCTCCTTTCCCGAGGCATTTATATTTACACACTGTATTCATGCCATAGGCTTAAAGAATTAGACCACACTACCCAACGGCCACAGAACATGACAGAACTGCACATTTCTGCTCATGAGAGACAGTACTGGCATTAAGAGGGTTCAGAAGGAAGGCATAACTACAGAAATGTTTTATTTCCAGAGTAACAACATGCTAAAGCAGTTAGAAGAAAAAAAAATTAAAATAAAATTTGTGGAAGTCTAGGTGATAGCTAATTTTGCCACGACGAAGAAAGGAGCATTGATTCCCCATTCCTCATATGGACGCAAGCATGCTGAGGTAAGAATTTAACAATGCCTGAACTCAGCACAGCAGCCATTGTAGATTACGTATGTACCGCAGAAAGCACCTTACCTTTGCTGGATTTTGGTTGCTCAGCTGGACAGCTTCCAACCTTCTTCTTTTTCCTTGGAACAGATACGCTTTTCCGGTCAAACGTAATGGGACTGTACTGAGGGAGGCTGTTGAATTTTTTTTCAAATTCTTCTTCCAACTTTGCTAAACTAAAAGGAGAGATGGAGAAGAAAAAATCACATGGGTCACACGGATACATTTTAAAATCAGGTTACTAGTATTGGTACTTTGATATCTGAATTCATCACAGTGAGGTCTTTTCATATTTCATATGAACCCTTGGGAGGAGGCATTCAAGCCTCATTTCTGCACATCAAGATGCATCTGTCAACATGAGGGTGATGTAATGATAAAAAAAAAGACAAAGAAACAGTGAAAAAGGATGGCACCAATATCAATGGGTAAATAATGTTAGATTTAGGGATGTAAAATCCCATGCAAATTGTTAACTGGTTAAACTGTATGTTAAACTGGTTAATCACCTGCCACGCCAGAGGCAGAGGGTACTGGCGCAGCCCCCCAACCACAGCACAGTGAGCCTGGGTAGGCTGAAGCAGCCCCCCGCCAATGGCATGCAGCAGATAAGGGCTGGGCCAGCTGTACTGTGACACGGGTCTGCTTTGACTCAGCTGGGTTGGAGTGTCCCTCGAAGCAAAGAGGACCTTGGTCAGGCTGGAACAGTCCTGCTCCCCACCCATGGCAGGCCACAAGAGGGGGGCTGTTTTAGCTGGGTCAGGTGCCAATTATCCAGTGACCCCTATAAGCATGCTGGTAAGGCAATGCTTACTGGCTAACCAGGTAAATGTTTATATTGCTAATTAGATTAGGATCAAAAAGGTTTTCTGAAAAAGTTAACTTGTTTGTTTTAAAAATATATTCTTTTTATTTATAAAGGGTGCCTTTATATTAAAGCTCTACTTGGTCTCACAAATACACACATACACAAATCAAGATGATGAGAAAAACAATTGACAAAAGCTAAGCAACCAAGCTACCTAACCTATACAGCTCTTCAATAGTGCTTCTGGGACAAACTAAGAGCATCAGGCTTTGGATGCATTTGGACCTGACTGGCTGCTGCATTGATATGGTGTCATATTATTTTATTACACAGAATGAACTGTTTAATACTTTAGTTGCTTGTAAATGTATTTGTTGGTAGTCCAACCAAAGCTCCTGCACATGTTATCTGAGCTTGTACAGTTTGTTTTTAATAAATCAGTAAATTAAAAAAAAACAAACCATGATTTCCACCAGGGGAAACGCATCCAATGCAGCTACTCCATCTTCTCAAGAAACCAAACATCCCACACCAACTCAATGATCCAGCTGGCTCTGCAGTGTGCTCTAAAGGTCAACGTAACTGGGGTGGCCAACTCAACAGCACACAAGCCACTGATGGACAGGTAATAGTAGATGACTCCATGCGGCGGTGGTGGTATTTTTTTTGTATTGATGTTCCTTTAATACATTTATATAGCAAAGCAGCCACACCGAAGAGCTGCTGTAAAGGAATGTTTTTTTAAAAGCAAATTGCAAAGCCCAGGAGAGAGAACTGGCCATTGCGTAAGTAAAACCAGTGTTGTCATTGGAAGGATGAGTTTTCCTAGCTGTCCCTAATTGTCTTTGCTAAAAAAGACCAGCAGACAATGAGAACAAACATGACTGTTTGGAGAAACGGCCTCTAAGCACTGTGCAGTGCCTAGAAGAAAGGCAAAAGTGTAAGTTTTCCAATTTTCTTTGAAACAGCTCTTGAAGGAAGCATCATTACAGGCACTGAAAGGTGCAAACTGGAGTTGATTTACTAATTCCTTTTGCATTTTTTTAAATGTATCTCATCTTTCTCTGACGTTCAATCAGATCCATGCAGAAGAGTGATGGTTTCAGTTACATTGCAGTATGAAACACAGATCTGGTTCACAGCAAGTGTTTTGTCTGTAGAAGCAACAGGTGGTATTGCTATCATGTGTACCTCGACATCCATGAAGTAAGTAGAGCTCTGTTGTGGTAATGGCTGACATATGCTCTCCCATTTGGCTGTCCTATTTCTATCCCCAACTCCCACTGCACCTGCCTGTGGTCTCTCATTTAAGTAGAAAGCCTAACTTTTGACAGCTGAAGAGCCACCATCACAGACAACTGATCGCATGTATGACATGGGAGAAGCAGTGATGCTGCCATTAGGAAGCCAGTGATTTTAATTATTTAAAAAGCAGTTACAGTGTCATAAATGTACAGAGGACTTTACAAACATACAGACAGACATCAGCTGGCCTGAGACGTTTGCAATCTAAGACCCCAATTCTGTAATGACATTCAAATAGGCAGACCTCTGCCCTTGTACAGTGGCTGAGTCTACCCGGGCAGAGCTCATGATAGGTCACAGGCAAGAGAAATAGGACATGTAACACTAGGGAATGCATGCAAAATTGACAGCGGAAGAGGTGGCAGGGAAGCTACCTGGGAACAGTAGATGTTAATGAGGATGAATTTGAAGGCGGCAGAAGATACTTGGCAGACAAGGAAAGGGAGAATGTTCCCATGGTAACGGGCAAGTAGTATAAGAGAAGGTACAAATCTGAGTCTGAGAGAAGAAGGGAGCTGTAAGGTGAGAGGAACAATGTGAGTTTGTGGAGGAGGAAGTAAAATCAGAGTGGTAGGTGGGAATAAGATTATGCAAAACCCTGAATAGAGACGTTTGTTTTTTATAAATAGGTCTGGTCTACATCTAAAAATTAGATGTGACAAAGAAACTCATCTTTTCAAACTGACTTTCAGCTTTAATGTAATGAAAAAAATGAATAGCTGGTTAACTTTTTGATGAAACAATGTGTAGTATGAGATCTTTACAAAATCTCTGTATCACTCACAAGTACATTATGTACTGAGAAAAACAAAAGAGCAGCCTAGTGTGTTCCAGAAACTTAGGTGGGGTTATTACAAGGTGGGTGCATAACTGGCTGGATAACCATTCTCAGAGAGTAGTTATTAATGGTTCTCAATCATGCTGGAAGAGCATAACAAGTAGGGTTCCACAGGGGTCTGTTTTGGGACCAGTTCTGTTCAATATGTTCATCAACGATTTAGATGTTGGGATATAGAGTAAGTACGCATACTGAGTTTGCAAATGCTACTATGCTGGGAGGGGTTGCAAGTGCTTTGGAGGATACGGTCATCATTCAAAATGATCTGGACAAACTGGAGAAATGGTCTGAGGTACATAGGATGAAGTTTAATAAGGACAAATGCAAAGTACTCCACTTAGGAAGGAACAGTCAGTTTCACATATACAGAATGGGAAGTGACTGTCTAGGGAGGAGTACTGCTGAAAGGGATTTAGGGGTTATAGTGGACCACAAGCTAAATATGAGTCAACAGTATGACACTGGAAAAAAAAAATTCTGGGATGCATTAACAGGAGTGTTGTGAGCAAGACATGAGAAGTCATAAGAACGGCCATACTGGGTCAGACCAAAGGTCCATCCAGCCCAGTACCCTGTATGCCTACAGTGGCTAATGCCAGGTGCTCCTGAGGGAGTGAATCAAACAGGTAATGATCAAGTGATCTCCCTCCTGCCATCCAATCTCCACCCTCTGACAAATAGAGGCTAGGGACACCATTCCTTACCCATACTGGCTAATAGCCATTTATGGACTTAACCTCCATGAATGTATCTAGCTCTTTTTTAAATCCTGTTATAGTCCTAGCCGTCACAACCTCCTCAGGCAAGGAGTTCCACAGATTGACTATGCGCTGTGTGAAGAAGAACTTCCTTTTAATTGTTTTAAACCTGCTGCCCATTAGTTTCATTTGGTGGCCCCTAGTTCTTATATTATAGGAACAAGTAAATAACTTTTCCTGATTCACTTTCTCCACACCACTCATGATTTTATATACCTCTATCATATCCCCCCTTAGTCTCCTCTTTTCCAAGCTGAAAAGTCCCAGTCTCTTTAATCTCTCCTCATAGGGGACCGTTCCAAACCCCTAATCATTTTAGTTGCTCTTCTCTGAACCTTTTCTAATGCCAGTATATCTTTTTTGAGATGAGGACACCGCATCTGTACGCAGTATTCCAGATGTGGGTGTACCATGAATTTATATAAGGGCAATAAGATATTCTCCATCTTATTCTCGATCCCTTTTTTAATGATTCCTAACATCCTGTTTGCTTTTTTGACTGCCCCTGCACACTGCATGGACGTCTTCAGAGAACTATCCACGATGACTCCAAGATCTCTTTCCAGTTGTCGCTAAATTGCCCCTCCCCCCCATCATATTATATGTATAGTTGGGGTTATTTTTTCCAATGTGCATTACTTTATATTTATCCACATTAAATTTCATTTGCCATTTTGTTGCCCAGTCACTTAGTTTCGTGAGATCTTTTTGCAGTTCTTCACAGTCTGCTTTGATCTTAACTACCTTGAACAGTTTAGTATCATCTGCAAACTTTGCCTGTTTACCCCTTTCTGCAGATCATACCTCACTGCTTACCCCTTTCTCCAGATCATTTATGAATAAGTTGAAAAGGATTGGTCCCAGGACTGACCCTTGGGGGACACCACTAGTTACCCCTCTCCATTCTGAAAATTTACCATTTATTCCTACCCTTTGTTTCCTGTCTTTTAACCCGTTCTCAGTCCAAGAAAGGCCCTTGTAATTTATGTAAGAGCCTTTGGTGAGGGACCTTGTCAAAGGCTTTCTGAATATCTAAGTATACTATATCTACTGGATCCCCCTTGTCTGCATGTTTGTTAACCCCTTCAAAGAATTCTAATAGATTTGTAAGATATGATTTCCCTTTACAGAAACCATGTTGACTTTTGTCCAACAAATTATGTTCTTCTACATGCCTCACAATTTTATTCTTTGCTATTGTTTCGACTAATTTGCCCGGTACTGACATTAGATTTACCGGACTGTAATTGCCAGGATCGCCTCTAGAGCCCTTTTTAAATATTGGTGTCACGTTGGCTACCTTCCAGTCATTAGGTACGGAAACCGATTTAAAGGATAGGTTACAAACCACAGATAATAGTTCAGCAATTTCCCATTTGAGTTCTTTTACCGGTGACTTGTTACTGTTAAGTTTATCAATTAATTCCAAAACCTCCTCTAATGACACTTCAATCTGTGACAAGTCCTCAGATTTGTCACCTACAAAGGACAGGTCAGGTTTGGGAATCTCCCTAACATCCTCAGTTGTGAAGACTGAAGCAAAGAATTCATTTAGTTTCTTCGCAATGACTATCGCCTTTAAGTGCTCCTTTTGTATCTCGATCGTCCAGGGGCCCCACTAGTTGTTTAGCAGGCTTCCTGCTTCTGATGTACCTAAAAAACATTTTATTACCTTTCGAGTTTTTGGCTAGCTGTTCTTCAGACTCCTTTTTGGCTTTTCTTATTACATTTTTACACTTAATTTGGCAGTGTTCATGCTCCTTTCTATTTACCTCACTAGGATTTGACTTCCACTTTCTAAGTCATTCTTCTATTGTGCTCTGATTAGGTCTCAATTGGAGTATTGGGTCCAGTTCTGGGCACCACATTTCAAGGAAGATGTGGAGATATTGGAGAAGGTCCAGAGAAGATGAACAAAAAAGATTAAAGGTCTAAAACATGACCTATGAGGGAAGGCCAAAGGAATTGGGCTCACTTAGTTTGGAAAAGAGAAGACTGAGAGGAGACATGATAGCAATTTTCAGGTATCTAAAAGTGTGTCAAAGGGAGGAGGGAGGGAAATTGTTCTCCTTGGTCTCTGATAATAGGACAAGAAGCAATGGGCTTCAACTGCCATAAGTTAGGTTTACTTTGGACATTAGGAAAAACTTCCTAACTGTCAGGATGGTTAACACTGGAATAAATTGCCTAGGGAGGTTGTGGAATCTCCATCACTGGAGATATTTCAAAGCAGGTTAGACAGGTATCTATCAGGGATGATCTAGATGGTGCTTGGTCCTGCTGTGAGGGCAGGGGGCTGGACTTTATGATCTCTTGAGGTCCCTCCCAGTTCTAGTGTTCTATTCTACTGAAGTAGCACCACAAGCTCTACTATCTATAATGTAGCCATACCCATAGTTTCTGAAATTTTGGTACGCATGTGAGGTCCATGTATTATAAAAGTATCTTTTACTAGAATTGGTTGAATAATGTTAATGAACGACACTGCTGAGTCAGGAAACAAGTTATCTTCATGTACAAATCTTCACTAACTCACAAGTTGTACAGATGGTAGAACAATATTTGTCAAATAAATTATTCACAATTCTTAACTGGCAAACCCTGAATAAATTATTTACATCTATATTTTTATAGAGTAGTTGATGAGCTGTGGAATTCCTCAGCTGACCTAAAGCTTTAATGTAACTAAATAAATGAATGGCTGGTTAACTTTATGATGAAACAATGCGTACTATGAGATCTTTACAAAAACTCGGTATCACTCACGAGTACATTATGTACTGAAAAAAAACAAAAATGCAGCATTCTTTTGCCTAGTGTATTCCAGAAAACAACACTTTAAGATTTTCAATATTAATATCCTTTCTATAAAATATGTTATAACTAAACTTCAGTTAATATCAGGTTATGAAAAATGTGACTATAAGCGTATTCAAAAGCTTGAATAGGTGACTATAAACCTATTCAAAACTTATTAAAGCTTTAAGCCTTAAATATGGAAAGAGTCTATTCTCTTTTACCTATTCTCTTTTATCTAATTTATTCCCGTTGAATTCAGATAATTAGAAATATCCAAGGATTTTCAAAGTATGCATGGCTAAGTAGATTTTTCATCACTATCACTGCAGTTAAATATATCTGTTAGTACTATGAGAATTGCTATTCATACTCCCGTGAGCCACTTCTGTGTAGATCTGCATTACATTTTAAAAAACAATTAATAATTATTTGTCTACTGATTTATTGCATTGCTTTAAATCCACTTATCTCCTATTTAAGAATTTGCCTCCCTGATGGAAAAATCCTTTATTTACTCTATTCACTTCACGCATAAAAAGGAAAACAGCAACTCTTAGCTGGTGCAATAATGGAATTAATAAATAATTAATGAAAAATCAAAGTCCGTTTTAACAATGTCGATCTATGTGTTCTGCCTAAGGCTAAACCAAATCAGAGTCAAGACCTGGATTCAGGAAGGTGTGGTTCCCAGTTTTGTGCCCTACATATTATTCTACTTTTCAATGGAATGTTCACAAAGGTTTTTTTTGTTTGCTTGTTTTTTTTCCACTACAACAACCAAATCCATTCCCTTATAGAGTAAAACAGAATGGAAACAAATCCTGATTGTACAAAAATCTGTTCAATGGATTACAACAACTCACCCCAGAACATATTCTTCCTTTGGCTTAGGTTTTTTCAGCTTTTTGCTCCCACTCATCCCACTTTGGGAAAAGGCCCAGTTTTCTTCATTCCAACATCCTTCATGGTCTGAGGAGTTGCCTTTTCCTGAGCTTCGTTTGCCTAGGAAGAGGAAAAAGATTCTGACTTTTATTATGGAATCTGTGTCACGGGGCACTGAGCTGACAAGGACACTGAATACCAAGCACTCAACAGTGCAATTTCTGATGCTCTGCTGACCGACTCTTCACATGCTTCTAAAATGGGTTCCATGTCAACTTAGGTTTCCCAAGGGATAACAAGATTACCTTCTAACAACTGGATCTGTCCACATTTACTACCTTAAAAGTCCCCACACTTTTGGAACCTTCTGCTAAGCTGCAGGACTCCCACAGTGAGGATCTGCAGAGGTGTAACCAAGGAGAAAAGGCTTCACAGATTTAATCTACAGCAACCTCAAGGGGTTCTCTCTTCATTTTAGCTGTTCAGATGATGATCTTTGGTTTGCTGCTCAGAGAAATGCTTTTTAAATGCATCCCACTGAAAGAGGACCTCTCATATTTGGAACCCAAATTCACCTTTCCATTCAAATTCAATGTTCTTTCAAGAATTATCACCATCCAATTTTCACAATGGAGATGCTAAATTAGAAAATGGATGACACGTGCTGATCTCCCTATTTCTATTCAGAACAAATGCCACGCTGCTTCTAGATCCCTCTGCAATTGTTCTGCTTATGTGCCTTATCTGAGGACCCGACTGTGCCTCAGAAAGAAGTGCAAGACACATCTTTCTCTTCAAGGATTCAGATCTATGCCAAGAGACCAAAAACATTTTTTTCCATATAGGAAATGAATGCTTCGGTGTAGTTGTTTAGGGTTACACAAAAATGCAAGACCTGCACAAACCAGCAGATTGGCCATATATTTTTTAAAGCAAAATGTGCTGGAAAGACTATTTTCTGAAATGAGATATGCAGTAAAGGGGGAGAGAAATGTATCTACTAATTGAGCCAAATAAATCTCTAGTTGCGTTATAAGTCTGCAACTGGATTCATGGCAGACTACGAGAGAGAGATGCTGTTCAAACACAATCTAATTAAGACCCTTGGATGTATTTTTCTCTTTCCTTTTAAGCAAATATGGCAAATATCACCTACCTCTGTCCACGTTGGCACGCAGGGACGTGAGCATGCCCTCAGACACCAGAGTCTTATAAAGAGCGCCTTTGCAAGATCGCTCAGATTTCCTGGAGCCACAGGTTTCAGTCTTTTTATTACAGTCACTGTCTGCTGTTTTGACCTGGCCAGGTAAACTCTGGGGTATGACATCCTCTGTCGGGGTCAATGGTTCTGCTTTTATGTTGTCCGATACCTCACAAGGCGGTACCTCCGTATTGGCGGTAATACTAAGAAAGTCGGGAGGCTTTGATTCTTTGGTGGTCTCTGAGGATTTCTCCTTTGATATTCTCTTCTCTTTTGATTTCACTTTTTTCTTTGGTGACTTTGTGTCCAGCATACTTCCCTTCATGTTTGAGGCAGGGCGGGCCTTCTTCCGGGGGATTTCGACAAGTCTCTCGGCCCCCCAGTCGCCCTTTGCAACTGCTTCGATAGTATAAATGACGCTTTCAATGTCGGACTCAGAGGACTGCCTCTTTTTACAAGCTTTCTTGGGGGTGGATTTTTCATTCGTGTGCCGGTCCAGCTTATTTTTTTTCTTTTTCTTTTTTATCTTGTCTGGTTTGCTCGGCCCCAGGGTATTCAAGTCAGCAAGTGAAAGCTCTGGAGAATGGCATGTGTGCTCTTTTGTATTGGGACTATTATTTATCTCTAAAGAACTGCTGTCTGCTGCCAGATCAGTCAAGTGGCTGCATTTTGTAACTTTCTCCAGCTCTTCAGTGTTTGTCTTTTCATCATATTGATTTTTCACTGTCTCAGATTCTTCCACTTTTACTTCTTGTGAGTCTTTCACTTTCTCCTTCTCCAATTCTTCCACTTTCACTTCCTCTGAATCGCCTACTTTCACATCCACTGATGTTTCCACTTTCATTTTCCCTGGTTCCTTCACTTTTACCGCCTCTGATGCAAGGCACATCTAAGAAGTTTAAAACAACCAACCAATCACCACCAATTAAATGACCTTATCATTCAATTTATTTTGTTTTACAGAAATACTAGAAAGGGGCAATTATCTAAGGCCCTGGTTAGGATTCCCCCCCGCCCCCCGCTCCCATTCAAGACAGTATGCTGTATAACCTCTAGGTCTCAGGGAAAGACACCTGAACCTAGCTGTAGATGACCTTGACATTGAAAATACACAAGCAGTACCCTAAACACAGTAAACAAGGCAATATGCAAACTATTCTACCCCCTCCTTATAACTCTGGTTCCTACTTTCAAAGGCCAGTGAATGAAGGATTTAATTAATAATTGATACTATGATTTTTTCTTTATTCAATTTACAAAACAAAACAAAAGTTTTAACATAATACAGAAAAATTCCCCCCCAATCACAACCCTCTTTAATACAGAAATGTGAAGTGTTACTGCTTTGGAGCCAACCCTCCTATTAATACCAGTAATGGAGAATGAATCCCTCTATCCAACCAAAGAACAGCTACCTTAAAGGCTTCCTTCAGGAAAATGTCCAAAACTTTAGAAAAACACCAACCAAAACACAGCGACCATCAGGTCCTTCAAAAGAGGCCACCAAAAGAACTGCATGAAGGTAGTTCTGACCTACTGACCTGGGCTGGATTTTAGCCAATGGGCTAGACGTCTCCTTCCCTAGTACTAATTTGAAAATTCTCTGAGCCCTTCTGTCACTACAAAACTGAAGATTTTCTTTTTCCTCAGATAATCTGCTATTCTACCTGCTTTACAGTTCAATAGGTCTTTTTAGTTAAATCGGTAAAAGTAGAGATCCTTTGCGTGATATTATTTTTCTTCAACACAAATAACAATAAAAATAATTCTCTCAAGTTCAGATTGGCTATAAGGAACATACCATCTAAAGAAATCCCTGTAATAATCTCTCAGGGCACGTCTACATAGCAGGGCTAAAGCTGAAATAAACTACGCAACTTGAGCTACACCAATTGCGTAGCTCAAGTCAAAATAGCTTATATCGACTTTTGACGGTACCTACACAGCAAGAAGTCCAAGAAAGAGCACTCTTACTCCGACTTCCCTTACTCCTTGTACAATAAGGGTTACAGGAGTCAGAGTAAGAAGTCCTCCAGCTCAACATTATGTCAAAATAACTGCTCGTAGCATAGACACGGACCAGGTTATTTCAGTATAATATAAATTATTCTGAAATAAAGATGCTGTGTAGACATATCCTCATAGCCTGTTTAATTAAAATAAACTGAAATTTTCAAATTCCCTAAGAAGCTTGGAAAACCTCAGATCTTAAAAATATCCTGTTCATGTCACAGGAACTCCATTTTTAACCTTCTTCTCTGCTCTACACCTTTTCTTCCTAAGCCTGTAACGTAATCAGCAGAGAAGAATTTGGACTGCTTTAGCTGTGTGGCTATGAAAGGGACTTTGGGAGTTGTAAGCTATAAATTAACTCATGGCATGTGGTCTTACGATTTGTAAGGTTTAGAGAAAAGAGAACTTTTAATGTTTCCACAAGGGGACCATTCACAGTAACTACCCCCGGAAGGACAGTCTGATGCCAGTTGCATAGTATCACAACACAGTTCCTCTAGAAGTCAGACATCCATGCATGTATTCATCACTTTAAAATAACAATCTGCATGGGAGTGGAGTGGAAATAAATGGAAGCGACTGAATCCTTCTAAAACATATTTGCAATGACAATGCCCTGATCTAAATAAAACCCCAGAAGTGTTCATTTAAAATAATTTGAATACAAATCAGATAAGCCCTTTGCCATCAGAGGTTCTGACTTTTTAACTGTTAATTCAGTAGCATAAGAGCCTGTGCTTTAATGGTTAGTCTAGGGAAATCTTGACTCCTGGCACCTAAGTGATAATTAGTATTGTTGTTTATAGAAGCATAAATTATGACTGTGCCACTGTTCTGACTGCCAGACTCAGGCAATCAGCATTATTAACTTCTCCTCCCCACTGCACCAGTGGTAATTAATCACCAGTATTTTAATATTACCTCTGCCAACTGAAACAATGCTGACGTCCCACACTGCTTTGTTAAATCAGGAGGGTCTGAATGGGATGTACTTGAGGAAATCTTAAGGAAAAACAAAGAAAGAAAAAAAACATTACTTCACTGATACATCATTCCTATATGTTGAATGTACATTTTTTTATGAAGATGACTTTTTCTTCCAACAATACATTCATAAAAGTTCACATTATGAGAAAAAATTGCATTCATGGTATCTCCATATTCCTGACTGTTGGGTTCTCCTCCTTATAAATAACAATTTAGTGCCCTCATAGAATGCCACAATGCCACTGGAATAGCAATAAGGATTATTTTCTACTTCTGGATTCTCTATTAATCAGGGCATCATTTAGGAGAAGGCTGACAGGAAGGCCAAGTTCACCTGCTTGTGTACATTACTGTAAGTCTATTGGCTCTGGTTTATGCTAGTAAGAATCTAACAAGCAGTTTCTGAGGCCAGGTCTATATTAGAACCAGAAGGTCAGCTTAGGGTATGCAACTCCAGCTACAAAAACAACTTAGCTGGAGTCAAGATACCTTAAGCTGATCTTGGCGTTGTCTTCACTTGGGAGGTCGATGCAAACACTTCGGCTGGCTTCCCTTACTCCTCGCGACTCCGAGGAGTACCAGCGCCGACTGGGGCACCCTTAGCATTTGATTTAGCGAGTCCTCAGTAGATCCACTAAATCAAATGCCAGAAGATCAATCTCTAGTGAGGAAAGTAGAGACAGGACCTAAACGTACTTTTCACCTTATATTAGCTTAGTGCTCGTTTCAGTACTTCAAGGAGTGTGAGGAAGAAGTGTTGAGAAAGACTCTAAACACTTTCTCAAATGTACTTTAGCACCAATCCAAGCATCTCAAAGTTAGACCTCAACATTCCTGCAAAGTAGCTATTTTTATATCCCCAAAACTCTGAGACCACCAATTAGGCTCTACACCAGCCATGCAATGGGGGATGCACAGCTATTTCCAGGCAGTGAGGAGCAAAACTTGGGAGAGTTGAGAGGACCACTCTCTTTGGTCCTTCCCTGTAACCCCACTAGAGCTATAAGAGTTACTTTATGGGAACTGCCCCCCAAATCATTACCATAGAAGGAAGAGACAAAGATCAAAAATATCCTACTGGTGTTCAGTGTCCTTGAGGAGGCTGCATCCTTGCACACAATCTCCTCATCACTCAGAATTAATCTTCAGTGCCCCTGAGCTGCCCACTGCTCGGGCTCTACTGCTTATAAACTACCTCCAGAGTTTTCAGCTATCTACAGCAGAACCAGACTCCCAGCACTCAACCACAGAGACATTGCAAACATTGCTCACTGACATGATTCTCCTAGCGACAGGACAGAGTATGATTGCATAGAGATGCAGGTTCCTATGAAACGCATCTGAACTGTCTTCCAAGCAGATACCAGACTGTAGCCCTAAAAGTACTTACTTCAACCACCCTTCTAGAATTATACTAAGATAGTTGGCCAACTTTTAAATATATTGGTGGCATTGTACTGGCTGTACTGATAATACCGACAAAAATCCAAGCTAAAAGAATATGGATATAAAGTCATGAGTTTGTTTTTAATCCA